AATGAATCAAATTTTAGTCGATTTTCCTCCGCTTCCTGAAAAAGCTCGGAAAATTTTACAAACTTTGCTCTCGCTAGTTGAAGAAAACTTATAAGGGAACATACAAAACCAACGTCGCATTGAGGGGGTGGAAACACTAAAAATTCGCTACGATGGTAGAGAGGGGTTCAAAAATTGGTCAAAAATATGCTACATCGTTTATGGATGATTCCTAATGAGGGCATAAACGTTCACTAAAATTGGACCAAATTCCTGTTGGTAGTTTGATACAAAATAACAAGTGAAAGCTATTCCACTAAGACGCCCACATTCATCAGTAAGTGAAAGCTGCTTGCTGAGAGCCAATAGGAGAATTAAAAAAATGCCATAAATTAAAATTTTGCAGCTAGAAATTTAAAAGCTGCAAAAGAATATTATTTATTTACCGATTAACTTGGGTGTGAAAGAGCAACAATAAATTAAAAATCCATAAACCAAATATTTTAGGGGGTGACAAATATGTGCGGCTAAAACAAGGCTTGAAAATGATCAACTGTTTAAGCCTGATGAAGGGAAGGGGGTTTTAAAATCACTCAAAACATGTCTACGTTTATAAATAACCTCTTTCAATGTATTTGCAAACAAAAACAACTCTAAAACTTCCGTAAATATTGAAAAAATCTCCGATCCGAAACCGATTGTTGCAATAAATAATAAAACTAGTCGCTAAAATACAGTAATTCGTCCATTTATGCGGTGGGTGGTACCGTCCACCCACCACTGCTTCTCGGCTGTCCTTCAATCAATTACAGCTGTACCCCGAAGAACGCTTTTCCCAACGGTAGTTAGACGTTTTTATTCGGCGAGTTTTCAACCAGTCAATCTGATTTTTTTTTTGTGTGAGTAGTGTCAATGAAGAAACTAGCCACTCGCAAAAAATCAGAGCGACTGGCTGAAAACCCGCCGAGAAAAAGCGGTGACTAGCACTCAGTGTGTAACGCGTTCATCGGGGGAAAGCTGTACACTAATTTTTTGTATGTGATTAGTGTCAACCATAAACTAAATATCTGCAGAAATTCAGCTCAATTGGTTGAAGGACAGCCGAGAAATAGCGGTCGGTGGACTACCACCGCATAAATGGAGGGATTACTGTATTCAGAAAGTGTAAAAAAGTTGCATTAAGTTGTTAAGAAATGCGAATTTTGAGCATTGACGGCAAATATCGCAAGCGCCCACTACATTTATTTTCATATTGGAAAGCACATTCCCTTTCAACCCATCATTCAAACACCAAACACACCACATTACTCGTCTTGCGAGCATAACACACCGCGCGGTTTTTGCCTCAGACAGTCACCCAAACAAAGAGAAAATGGCATTTCACTCTCCCTCTCATTCGTGTTAGGCCGTCTCGTCGGTCGGACTTGCAAAATGCAGCTGAAACTCAACCAAGCAAACCGACAGACGATCATTTCCAGTATAAAATTCTCAACGGATGCTCGCTTACTTCCGGTTTGACCGAACCGAACAACAAAATCATTCACACTTGCGACGTGGTTCACACAACGGCGGCCTCTCCCCGGACCGACTCCCATTCGATTGTGTAGGTGTGCAATGTGCATTGCATCAATGCCGTCGACCCAACAGCAGCTAGCCCATATGATTTTCGCAACATAAAAATAGCAAAACATAAAAACCGGTAAGAGAAGCTCGTTCGCTGTTCAGCCGCCTGCCGAAACGTGGCTGAGAGTGTGTTGGTGTAGTTTTAAAATCAGCCGCCTCTCACAGTGGGCCGTGTGGTTTCGAAAACTGGTCTTAATTTATTTGTTCTAAATACAGGGTGTTTGGTTCCGGGTTTTACATATTTTCAGGGTAGATAGGGCTCTTAAAGTTTTGAAAAAATCCCCATGAAACATAGGGTTGGAAATGACTGCTAAGTGAGTTATTCAACATTTTATGTTTTTTTGTATTGCCAACTTTGGTTAGCTATATTTTTTTAATCTTAATGTGGTTTTCTTATTTCAACATACCAAATGAAAGATTAAAGTCTTAGCTATCAATGCTTTCTTGAAAAGAACTCGATTAAAGTTATTTATCATACATTAAAATTGAAAAGTATGTTGAAAGTACCGAAACAACTGGTGAAATTTCATACATTTGAGTGTTTTTAAGTTGAAAATTTTCATTTCTGTTAATTTAGTTGTTCTACAAAACATTCTCCATGCAGTTCCCTAGATTTATGTCTTTGGTAGTAACCTTGTAGGCTTTATGGTTTCTTCGTAATTATAGATTTAAAACAGCCATAAAAACTTGTGAAGTTTTCTTAAAATGCGCTATAGTCACCCTATTCGTTCGTACGTTCGGCTGTTGCAGTGGACTACGCACATGAAAATTTGGTAGAATGTTATTGTAAATGTTTAGCTACATTCTTAACTTTTGATTACCGCACATCTCATGCGCCGAAAGAAAACATAACTGCGGAGACGTTTCGTGGTATCGAATATTGCTCAGTCTCAGCAGAAAACACAACGAGAGACACTGAATCGGCGAATTCTGAAGGGCCACGCACATTAGATCCGGATCGGACGCGTTGCGGCAAAGTGACAGCTAAATCTATTGTCTTACTGTCAAATTTACGTCAAAGCAACGCATACGGATCTAATGTGGGTGGCCCTTGAGAGCGGAAGGGAGAGAAGTAGGTAGTGGTAATAAGTCGATGTCCTTTTTATTTCATAGCACTCGCAGCTCAGCTGCGGTGCTGTTTCGATGGTGGAGCTCCGCTGCTTCTGTTTACACACTTAGATTTTTTTACAGGAGTTAGTATTTTTACTGGATTTTTGGATTACTCACTCGGTTAAAATTCAAATGACTGTTATTCGTAAAGATTGGATAAAATCGAATTTTTTTATTATTCATAATTACACGGTGTTAACAGATGTTAGTCTGTAAATTTTGGTAACACATTTCTCAACTTTGAATTTTTCACAGATTTTTTAAATTTTACCGAAGAGTTCCGCAATTCAAAAACTCGGTAAAAATTACTGACTCGATAAGTGTGTACTGATGTTTGGTTGGTGAAGAGGCTAGCATGTGGAGGGTATTCTCGGGCTAGTGAATTCCACCCATCCCCAATTATAATTCAGTAATACACTATTTATTCATTTCTGTTTGATATGTTTACAAAGTTTGACAAACAGAAATGAGCATTGCAGTGTAGTTACCAATTTTCCAAGTCGTAGACTTCAAATAACTGTTCAAAGTCCCAGATTTTTTATAACGGAATCATGAACAAAAAACCAAAGACCACTATGACTAACGTGATCGGTCTGAAGGGATATTTACATAGAAATTGTTTTAAGGTGATACGATTCAGAACCTCGGGCTCTGGTTCCACTTCGCTTTTTCCAGGAGTCCATTATCTGCTACCGGAAAACATACAATAACAAAACTGTGATGACAATTTAGTGCCTTAAATCACATTAGTGCCCGAGATCAACTCCCTAGAAAACTCGAAGTTTGTTTACTAAAATGAACCGCCCATTTTGTTATAGCAAGTTTGCTATAAGAAATGCTCCTCGCATTTATTAGCGAAATTCACATCAAAGATTGATTAATTGCGTAGGAAATCAGTTTGGCACGGCATTTGTGACCAGCATACACCTTCCGGTCTTATGAAACAGGTCAAAAACTGTCCAAATCCGCAGATAAAAAATTTTGTTTTGAATTTCCGTAAAGCAGAATAGTGAACTTTTCGTCAACATTAACGGCAAAGAACTCACCAACACTGGGAGACCGTGAGTTCCTGCCCACCTGTCTTAAAAACATCTCGATACCTGATATCATGTTCATGTATAGTAATAATTTATTAGAGTAAAAGGACTAATGAACAAGAAGACATTATTTTGATGTCCTTCTCTTAATGATAATCTTTATAAACAATGAAACTCTAGAACTCTTGAATATTAACTTTAACGTATATTCTCGTCATCTTTGAGAGCTACTTCTAGTTAGACGTCATTGGTTTAGATTCACAACAAACAATCGCGTATCGAAGAAAGACTTCTTCTTGATTTTATTTAACTGCATGCTTAATAATACTGTTACTATTTTTATTAATAACTTCTGTTTAGGCTTAGTTCACGCTGGATAATTTATTCAGACACAACATTGAACTACTTGATGTGGTGTAAGGTATTTGTCAACAAGCTTTTATTCGACTTACAGAGCTTTATTCGATAACTTTTTTGATTATTCAGCGTTTATTGGACATCAATGCTTGCTTAAATACTGATGGTATCTAAGCAAGTATGTTATTTAATCAATTGAAGACAGTCGAATTAAAGCGTCAATGTATGTGAAAATTGCACTTATTCAGTATGTTATTAGATAAAACTTCTTGTGTTGAATCAGGAAGACTGTCAATATTTTTATAAATTTTAATAAGTAAATTAATCAGATCAGAGCGAGCAGTGGAATAAAGGCGCATCTATCGATCTCAATGAGGTTTTTCCAGCACATAATTCGACAACTCGTTTTATTCAGCTATGTTTTGAGGGGTGCATCGGTTAACTTGGGACCGAAGACAGTACCAGAGCTGAGCCAAAAAGTTGAGCACGTTTCTTCGGGACCTTCTATTCTTAGAGTTACGTCTATGTTTCTACCGCTGCTTGGAAAATCATTAATATAATTAAACAAATAAACGGCTGTCTGTTTATACTCAATATCCGAGTAAGCCCGCCACTGGAAGAAAATCCTGGAACATTCTTTGACGCAATATTAACGAACTTTTATTCTTTGGGCGCACCACTGTGCCGCGCTCGAGAGTGTGTTGGTGCAGCCTGTTAAACAGCCGCCCTCGTGTAGCTACACGATTGTTTATGTTCCGTTCGGCTCCGAGTGGCTGCCTGTGGATGTGTAGTGGTGTTCGGGAATCTCGCTGGCTGCCGGTCTCCGTCCACGAACTGTCGCGCGTGGTGGCGCGTCGATGTTTTCCTGTTTGTTTCAGTTGCTCTCGCTTCGTCGTCGCGGATGTGCGTGTATGTTGCAATAGAAGAGGGGGTGCGTTTTCACTCGTGTCGATCGTCGTTTTTATTTCCACCACCGTGGATTTTGTTTGTTGACAGTTTGGCGTGTGTGACCTTTCTATGCCGGTGTTTTCGGTAGTGGTTCAGAAGAAACAATAATATCATTGTGGAATTTGCGGAATTTCTCAAGTAGTGATGTTTAGTAAAGGTGCTCGACATTGATTCGTGATCGAGAACGGTGTAAACAAAAGATCGAGTGAGTAGTGAAGAAGAAGGTAGGCAAAAAACCCAGCGTTGGAGTAGTGAAACAAAACCATCTTCTGATCGACAAAGATCGGTGATCACCTGTGTGAGTGGGAAAAAGACGGTTGATAAGTTGATAGAAAAAAAAAAAACAAGATCAAAAGGTACACAAAACAGATCAAAATCATTAGCCTTCGGAAGAAACATGAAGAAGTTAGTGTTGTGATTCTCTGTCTCCTCGTGGACCTCTTCTTGATGGTGCTGCCGGTTTTTTGCCCTGTGGTGCACAATCTGTGATCCGTTTTTTTCCCTCTTCCTTCTGTCATCACATGATGCAACCGTGTGTGCTGCTGGCTGGCTGAGACAGACCCGCGCGCGAACCGGACCCCGGACACACAGAGCCGGTCTGCTGGTCGGCCGGTCGGCGGCTGGTGGGGTGATGCAGGCAGACACTGATATTATAAAAGAAAAAAAATCTACCCATGGCGGCGGTGGTGATGATCGTCGTGTCGCCGGAGACGTAAGAGGGGGCGCGGAACGGTATTGCATTTAATTGATCAACATCCATCATTACGAAAAAATGCAGTTCGTTCGTATACGTTGCGCGCACTCTGGTTGGTTGCATTTTGTCAGAGTCTCGGTTTTTAAGAGTGACATTCGTGTGCAGTGCGCTCACAAGCTGGGGCTGACGACCTGGTTATTTTTTCTTATGTCGCGAAATGAAAAATTGAAGAAATTGAGGGTAGCCAATTGGCGCTTGATGATTAGAAATTGCAGTGCAATGTAATTCAATTCAATGTTGTCAAACCTATCGCTTCGGTTTCGGAGGTGACAAAATCCATTCTGCTGGAAAGGGGAACATTTTACAAAACGACCACAACGTACAAGAACAAGGATCTGACGAGCAAGTCTGCAGCAGTCCTCATGTTTATGAAGGTAGAAAGGAAGGGTTTCAATTTCAGCAGGTAACCATCCCTCGCTGTTGGGACGTTTGTGGGAACTGCTGTTGATCTCTTGAGGTGATAATGTTTCCAACAGTTTTGCTTTGCTGTGAAACTTAATGTCGGTGCAATAATTTGCACCAATTTGTTATACTCTTTTATTGGAGGAGTGATTTTGCGTGCATGACTATCTGCATTTTATGGTTTCGAAATTGTACCAAGCTTTGTTAGAAATCTCTCCGTTAGGAGAATTGTGAAGTTCTGGCATTTATATTGTAGCCTAAAACTGTAAGTAAAATTGTGATTTATCCGGTCACTTGTCCCATAGTTATTCCCATGTAAACATCAAAGAGCCAGTGTAGTTTCAGATTTCAGCCAAATGGGCTCAACATTTTTGGAAGATGACAGACGACTAACTGGCGAAGAAATCATTTAAAATAATGTGGTTCGCTGTAATAGAATTTTCTTAGAACAGAGTGTCGACTATCTGGAAAATCAGCGAATATCAGGGAATTCCTTTTTGGACCTGGAAAATTAGGGATTGTCAGGGAATTTTTATTCAAAGTCAGGGAAATATTTCTTTATGACAGATACAGATATTAATAAGTATGGCTGACTTCGCTAGTTTCAAACAAGTTAATTACTCGTTGTTCAACGCTTGATGTTGCGGTTTTGCAAGTGGAGCAAAAGTTACTCAAGCTGGTATAATGGGAATGTGCATCTCTTAATAGATGTTATTCCTAATTGCGTCTGACAAAATTTAACCTTCAAGTAGATTCTGCGTCTGCTCGATCCAGCTGTGTCCAACAAAAAACAATCCCTTGAGCGCATTGGAGCGCTTTTGACTAAATGCAAGAATGATTAAGAGTTAAGCTGGGCTTAGATAAGGCAAGTCATTGATCAATTCAGTTGAATTCAATTGGCTTGAAGAGTTGGGCCTGGTTCAACTTTTTTCAATTCAAATGCGTTGATCAATCTGCTGGGTCTCAAAATGTGCTCAAGGCAAAACAAATATAATGGGATTAAAAATAAGTGTTTCATATGTGAAATGCAGAGTGAGTGTAAACCGGGAAAACCGGAAAAAGCTGAAATTTGAAGTCACCGGGAAAATCCCATGAATTTAGTTGACAAATCTTGAAAAATATACCTCGTCCTCTCTTCGAAAACAATAAGATTTCAAGACCCTTGGACTGGTCTAGATCCCTCCCTCCCCTTGGCTAGTTTTTGCACCTTGCTGTTGCGTTGGTGGGCTTAATTTCATGCTTTATAGTGGAGTGTTGGAGACGGTAGGTTTATGGCCAGCCCATGCCGCGATAGAATGGCGTCATGGGCAGGCAATGAGGATTACTAAGCTTCCCCTCTCTGATGAACCACTGCATGAGAAAACCAAAGATCTAGTCCAGCAGTGATAGTATCACACTTGTTACTCCTTTGTTTGCGAGCCGCGTCGTAGAACGCTTACGTATAGGCACTGACGTTGGGTGCGATACTGGCGGATTTTGCCGCACATAACTCTTATTTTATTTATTTTTACGCAGATTTATTTAAGTTTGGAAGGCAATTATACTATTGAAATATTTCAGAAAGTGCCCAACAGTACTCCTTCTACTTGCGTGACAAGCTTTCATTGTTCTTTTCATTGAGGTATTACTCGGAACAAAGTTAAACACCATTTTTGTACATGGTATTGTAACTAACTAATGCGTGCTTCATTTTGATTTATGATAAGTGTTTGAACTATGGCTCGGGATTTCCACTGTGGCGTGCTTCTATTGTGACATATCCATACGTAATTTTGTGGGACGTTGGAGCATATACCATATATAATTTAAAAATCAGCTAAGAAACTAACTTTAAAGTGAAGCATTGTAGTCACTTGAAGGTGTCACCTGGGTCGAACTAAAATATAATAAATAGGTATAGGTCAGAATCAAAAGTACTTCAAACACGTTTAATTTTTCATTACAAGCACAAGTGCAGGTACTTAATAAAGCATGATTGATTAGGTGAATTAGAGATTTCAATTATTTATTAAATTAGATCAATGAGATATTATAATCATCAAATGAACTTAAATAAGAAACTTCAGAAAGTCTAATAACATTAAGAAGATTAACAAAAGAATTAGGATAAGGGGGGTCCGCTTAGTGAGGCAACTAACCTTTAAAGTTGTAGAATAAATGTTCCTATTTAGTCTTGAACTTCAATAAGAAAACGCAAGCAAACCAATAGCATTAACAAATTAACAAGGAGAGGAATAGTTTAGGAAATAAGTAAAAGTAGAGGTTTGTGACAATTGAAAACTTTTAATCTTTTGTAGGTATTGTTTTCCCCTGAGTTTATTGTACTCGATAACTATATTATTCTCTCAATACGCAAAATCTCTGATATATGCGGTTAAAGCATTTGAGTTAACTTATTTCTTAGTGTTCAAGTACTTGCATTTTAAACAGCAGTCAATGTTAATCTATGAACTAAACCATACGTAAAATCGATCTTTCCTTATGTGGTATTGATGCATGTTTAACTTTTCGCGGTTGTCGGAATCAACGCGCCTACGTCTGCGGAGCTTACCCAGAAGTGATTCGTAATTCGGTAGAGCATGCCAAAAGTGTTTTAAGCTGATGTAGTTAAGAATTTGTTCGGTACGATCGCGAAATTTTGAAATGATTGATACGTGCGGTAAAATAACTAAATTGAAACAAAGTTCAATAGTAAAATAAGTAGAATATCTAGGGAGGAAACCAAAATTAATCAACTTTCCAACATAGGCTTTCACATTTATTTTGGTGGCACTCTTATAGTGATAATAAGCTGTTTTTTTATCTACGACTGTCTCGCGCGGCGTTCGTAATTTGCGCGATTTTCGTATCTTACGTAATTTAGATGTTTAGTTCTAAACAGTTTTACTGACTCGAGGTCGTTCCTTAAGCGGTTTTGGTGCAGTTTAAACCTTTGGTGGCTGTCAACTTGCCAACATAGGCTATCACATTTATTTTGGTGGCACTCTTTAAATGATAATAACCCTTTTTTCTCGCTTCGGTTGTCTCGCACGGCTTTCGGAATTCGCGCGGTTTTCGTAACTTACATAATTAAGATATTTCGTTCGAAACGGATTTCACAGCATTTTTTCTATAACTATCTTGAAACAATACACACGGAATCCAGTGTTCAAGCTGCCAACATAGGCTAGTCCTTTTGCTGTATTGTCAAAGATAGATGCAAAATTTATTCCAGCTTGATACCCAATAATAAAAAAAAGACCCTTGGACTGATCTAGATTTTCAGGATAACTACAGTCACTTTTAAGAACACTTAAGAGAATTTTAGAATTTTTTCCGAAGCAAATTTGAGCTGATTTTAGAATTAACTCTAGCGATAACACCAAGGTATTTCAAAGAATATTTTTAGGTAGCTTTAGGAAAACCTCTAGGTGAGTTTTTACTAGATCTGCCAAGAGTGAAGAGGATTACAGGAATCTCGAAAAATACCAAGGAACGCGAATTTTGAGAGGAGGGCGAGGGGGACGACTCTATCTACGATGCAAAAAAGATTGTGTTTTGCTGTGGCTAGCTACGCGCACGCTGAGTAGATAGAAAGAAAATTGATGACAATTCTGAAGATTTCCTGCAAAAAATTGATGAGCGATGCAAGTAGATGCGACAAATGAAAGAAGATTGTTCGAAGATTGATTCGCTAGTGTGATATTTGTTTAACAATTTAAACTTGAGATTTAGATGTGTCGCCCCCCTCGGAGGAGGGTACAATTCCAAACTAATTATGCGAAGATCTATAAGGAAGTCCGAGTATAATTTCAAGCGCATTTCGAAAGGAATTTCTAGAGAATGTTAATGAGAATTCCATGCAATTTTCAGAAGAATTTAGAGGAGCATTCCAAGATAATTCTGAGTAAAATTTGAAGACAATTCTCGGTGGGAGAATTTTCCCTGCCAGATGGTGTTGGCAGGGAAGGGTGATTACAAGTTTTGCTCACAATAGACCCATGAGGTGAATTCTACGGAGAATTTCAAGCAAATTTAAAAAAAATTGAAGCTCCAGTGAATTCTTAGAAAGAGTTTAAAATTCGAAGATAGGATGAATTTTAAGAATTTCTGTACTATTATAAAAATAATTTCAAGGGATTTCCAGAGAGAATTTCAAATTTATTTTAGAAGAATTCTGGAAAGATTTCTGTGAAAGGAAAGACTTGAGAACAATCAAAT